AGATAAATACTCATGGAATTGCTCGAAACGCTCGTCTACACTACTCTGCGTACAGAGTTGTACGCAAAAAAGAAAGAGAAAGAGAGAGAGACAGAGAGAGAGAGAGAGAGTAAGAGAGAGTAAGAGAGAGTGAGAGAAAGAAAGAGAGAGATACTCTTTAAAAGAACCTGAAAAGAAATGTTTATACACATCTATACATATACATATGTATATATATATATATATATATATTTTTTTTTTTTCTTTTGTTTAATTCAATTTATAAGAAATCTCATTTTCTCATAAAATGATTTTATTAATATCGATTATATACATTTCGTATAAAAATACGAAATTTGAATATACATATACGTATATACGTACGTATATGATAACATTGTCGTTATTAATTTATTAAGAATGTTAAAGGACAACCTTGTACAATGGAAAATAAACTTCGAGTTGTAAGACGACGCGTCAAGGTTAACTGAGATAATTACGAATGTAAACAAATAAAATTCTACTGGTCGAAAGTTTTTCACAAGGACACCAACAAATCAGTCCTTCGTTGAACGTCGCTCTGAATAAACGAATACGTTTCGTTGTCGTAATTCTTTAAATTATTAACGAGAATATTTTTTCTTGTTAAAATTGTATTAAATGCGAACGTAGAAAAGGGATTTTGAGGTTTGTAAATCATTATTATAAATGAACAATGATATTATATAATTACAAGATATTCAATTAACATTGGAAGAACGATCTATCGTGATTTTTTGATTATATTAAATTTTTCATTCTAAACTAATCGATATTTATTACATTTATTACCAATTATATTATTTCGATTTATATAATAATATATAATAATAGATTTCCTTTTAATTATGTATAATATATATATATATATATATATATATATATATATATATATATATATAGATATAGGTATAATATATTATAGGTATTGTATATCGTATACATAGTTCTTATTATTATATTCAACGATAATAATTATCGTTTCGAAAAGATTTTCTATGCCCTGAGTATTGGATTTTACTCTAAAGGAAGGAGGTCTGCTGTAAAATCGCATCTCAATTGGATCAACGTTCCTCTTCTATGTACATATATATATATATATATATATACACATATATTTCCGGAAGTTGAGCATATAATACCTAAACCCGCATTGCAGTTCGTCGTTGGTTCTTTACAAGTCTACGGACGCTATTCGTACAAATACATACAGTCTCTCGCTATTTGTAGCAACAGCAACAGCAATAGCAACGGCAACAGCAACGGCAACAGCAACGGCAACGGCAACGGCAATAGTAACGACAGTAAGCAACACTAGAAACTCCTTGAGACGTGCGATACCTTCTCCCGTCTCTTCGAGAGACATCATGCTTACATGTGTGTATGTTTGCTCGTGCCATAAGCAAGTGGTACGGTAAATGTGTACGAGGGATGTGAAGAAAAACGAAGGGAGGGAGAAAGGTTAGCTTAGAAAATCTGTAGGAGATATTAAATATTTGAGATTTAATATTAGAACGTACGCATATATATATATATATATATATGTGTGTGTGTGTGTGTGTGTGTTTACTTTAGTTTTACGTAAAATTGAAATCTCTTTTCTTCTTTTTCATCGTTGTTATTTTCTTTTTTATAGTTTATTATACTAGAGCTTTTCTTTTGCTTAAATATTGTTTTTTCTTTCTTTCTTTTTTTCTCTTTCTTTTTTCTTTTTTTTTTTTTTTTTTTTTTTTCTTTTTTTTTTGTTTGTTCGCTTGTTTTGTCTCCCTTTTTCTTTTTCTTCTTCGTTCGTATTATTAAACATCGTTTTGAATGTATGTATGAGATCGTTCTATCTTTCATTTCAACCGAATAAAAGCTCTTTAAATGGTGTCTGAAGTCTCATCGAGATTACCAAGATATTTCGTCGTTATGTGAGAAATGAGGATAAAGAAAAAAAAAAGGAGAGATATAGAAAGAGAGAAAGAGAGAGAAATAGATAGGTAGAAATTAGAGAGAAAAGAGAAAATGAAAGACAGAACGCTCTCAAGAGACAGACAGAGAGAGAGAGAGAGAGAGAGAGAGAGAGAGAGAGAGAGAGAGAAAGGGAGACAGCAGTTTCCTCGAGTTTAAGCCGACGGACGAAAAAGAAAAGCGTTTGCAGTGGATTGACGCTTGAATTTTTTAGATTTTCAAATTAGCCTTCCATGGCAAATACGAGACCGACGAGAGTACCGTACAATACCTTTAAAACCTTCGATGATTTATTACGAGAGCGAAGCGTTTAGTTATTTTTTTTTACTTTCCTTCTTTTTTTTTTTTTTTTTTTTTTGTTAACTCTTACTCCTTTACGGTCGATACAAATCGGTACGATTTATCTCGCAAAATTTGTTCTTTTCTCTTTACTTTTTTCTATCTATGGGGCAAGGGGAGGGGAGGGGATACAAATACTTTGATCTCGATCGAAACGAATTATTCGTCGTGATAACATAAAGCCTTATCTCTTGTTCTTATATTTCTTATATATATATATATATATATATATATATATATATATATATATATATACATTATAAAATTATTGCGAACGAAACGAATCATATTATTTTTTTTTCTTTTTATAGAATTTAAAATTGTTGAGATCATTCGATCGATCTAAAGAGTACCGACGACATTTTTCTTTCTCCTTTAACTTGAATTATTCACCGTTTCGTGTGTCGTCCTAAAGAAAAGTATACTCTCCAGGGTATGCCACGTGGAATATGCTTTAAAGCTCGTGTTCACTGGCATTCACGCGCGAAGAATAATATTATCCTTTATAGTAGCTTTTTCGCGGTCACTGCTATATACATCGAAGAAGAGGAAGTAGAAGAAAAAGAAGTAAAAAAATAAAGAAGAAGAAGAAGAAGAACCGGAGGAGTAAGAAAAAGAGGAAGGACTATATAAAGAAAAAGAAAAGAAGAAGAAGAAGAAGAAGACAAAAAAAAAGAAAAGAAAAAGGGGACGGAAAATTGAACAGATCGATTTTTCTCGACGCGATCCTACGACGAGAGGAAACGATCGTGAAGTACAAAAGGATAACAAAGCTTTGTCACGATAGGGATAGTGAGATAAAATTCACGGTGTAAAATACGACGTGTCCCAGGGTGGCCGATAAAATTTATCGTCCCGATATTTTCTATAAAATGCTTTTGTTTACTGGGTGTGGAAGAAAGAGAGAGAGAGAGAGAGAGCAGCGAGAGAGAGAGAGAGAGAGAGAGAGAGAGAGAGAGAGAAATGAAAAATAAAAAGAAAAAAGAAAATAAAATAAAAGTGAAAATAAAAAATAATAAATAAAAAAAAAAAATAAATAAAAAGAAGAAAAAAGAAATAAAACGACATTACTATCGGAACTTCTCGGTCACGAGTGCATTCGATTATTTTCGAGATCAAACTAAATGTCACGGGATGAGAGCAATAAAAAAGAAAAAAAAAAAAAAAAAAAAGAAAAGGAAAAACATGGAAGAAAGAAAATAAGAAAGAATGAAAGAAAGAAAAAAGGATCCATTCAAGTAGAAAACAATTATGAGGATAATAAAATTGATCCATAACAAGAGGAGAAATAAATTACTATATATACATGTACTATATATATATATATTGTACCATCTCTCGTTTCAATTGGAGACAGCTTGCTAGTTGCAATAATGTGCAATACGTAGATATATGTAAATTCATAAATCGATCAGACGAGTGTAATAAAGCGTGTGATGTTCGTATAACGACGATATTAACCTTTCGTTAAATCAAAGGAAGAAGAGTTTGAGCAACTACAACAACACAACAACAACAACACAACAACAACAACAACAACAACAACAACAACAACAACAACAAGAATAATAAAAACAACAATGACAAGAATAACGATGATAACAATAGATGGGTAAAAGTTGGTGACACAGGTCGAAAGCTTCACGAACAATGGCTATGAAAGGGTAACCTCCGTGTGTATTGAGTATATCGAGGATAATAGGAACGGACTTTATTACGTGGCATCGACGCTTTTCCATGATAAAGTTTAAACCGCACGCGCGATGCAGTGACCTGCATTCTAGACGTAACCTCTCTCGTATCAAGACGATAGTTCGTTCTCTCAAACCGGACGACGACGCCTTTCAAAAGATCGATACGCGAAAGAACGTTTGTAGAAAATTTCAAAGAAACTCAAGACGAATAACCTTTTATCATTTCGTATCATTTTATACAATTATTTCTTTCGAATTTTTCCTTTTGATCGTTCAATCGTTCTTCTTCTTCTTTTTTCTCTTTTTCTTTTTTTCTTTTTTTTTTTTTTTCTTTTTTTAATTAATCGTTACGAGGAAGAAAAAAAATAAGAAAGAAAAATTCTTTTCGAAATTTTATTATCATTTTATCGTCTATCAATCGCGAAATGTTCATTTTCTTAATCGTCTATAAATTTTTTTGTCCTTCTTTTTCCTCCTTTTTTATTTTTTTTTTTTCTTCTTCTTAAAGATATATTCCCACGATTTATATTATACATTTGATTTCGCATTATTTGACTTTGAAGTTAGTTCGCAGAAAATATTTTTCTATTTCTTTTCTTTTTTCCTTTTTTTTTTTCTCTTTCTTTTTTTTTTTTTTTTTTTTTTTTCTTAATATTTATTCTCGCGAGCTTAAAAACTTTTCAATGGTTTCTACTTGCCTTTGCTTTCTCCTATACTTTTGCCTTTTCAATAGATTTTATTGCACCTACAAAGCATCGTTTTCTTACTGGCGAAGAAGAAGCTCTCCACACCGCGTTATATTTCAACCCTTGTATATCACCCGTTGAAACCGATTTCCTCTTTCTCTTTCTCTGTCTCTCTCTCTCTCTCTTTCTCTGTCTCTCTTTCTCTCTCTCTCTCTCCTTTCCCATCTCTCTCTTTATCTCTCTTCATCTCTCTTTATCCATAGTCGTAGTCGTTGTAGTCGTAGCCGTTACTTGACAGTGAAATAAAACTGCCTGTCTTTTCCTCGCAACGAAAGGACAAAGTAGAGGAAATCTAGTTGTCTATTTTCTCTCTTCGATTTATTTTCAAGGTGTGATCTTATCTCATCGAAGTTATTTCGTACTTTTGATAAATGAAAAAAAAAAAAAAAAAAGAAAAAAGAGAAAAACAAAATGAGAGAATATTATTCGTCTATATTCGTCATATTAAAATCATTTAATTAACTGTCTAATCTAATTTCTATTAATATTATATTATATGTCAAAGTTTTAATTTGTAGATTATAGATCGCTACAATTAAACTATATATATATATATATATATTTCTTTTTTCTTTTTTTTTTATTGAATCGAGAAAAAAAAAAGTAAAGCTTCTTTTTCTGTATATAATAAAAAAACTTATATTACATTACATATATATATATATATATGTTAGGTGGACCAGAAAGTAATGTCGCTTTCTTAAATTAAATTCAAACGAATAAATTTTTAACAATTTTTAACAATCAAATATCGACATGCGCAGAAACGACATTACTTTCCGGTCCACCTAATATATATACATATATATATATACACTATATATTATGTATATATATATATATATATAATTGATGCTTGGCAAATATTTATTTTAAGAATATGAACTAACTTTATTACTTTTATGTTAAAATCATAATATAAACGTAAGTAATATTAATATAATTATTATTTTATACTATTATTCTAAATGTATATATATACGTAACTTATATTTAGAAAACATTAAATTTTAGAATATTAACCAACTGTGTTACTATAATAATAAAAATAAAATACACGTATATTGGTATGCGATACTTATATCATAATATTACATAAAATTACATAATTTTAGAACATTTCTAAAATAAAATAGAAACAAACTTTCTCCCTTTCTCTCTCTCTCTCTCACTCTCTCACTCTCTCTTCCTCTTTCTCGCTCTCACTCTCGTTCTCGTTCTTTAACGATTTATTATCGTAATCATAATACCATAAATAGAATTTCCATTAGAGATTTTCTTACGGAGAAGATTATTTGTATCATGAAAGTCAACTAAAAAGGGTTGAGAGACACTGAATCGTTGCATTACTGTCAGCAGCACGTGCAGTGTCACGTGGTTCGCTGTTGAAACATCTGCATGGGCACGTGCAACGATCGGAGACCCCTATATTCTCTACTTACACTTTGAGAGTATATACATACATATATGAATATATATATACATATATATATATATATATATATATATATGTATGTGTATACGATCGTAACCAGGCGGTTACGCGCATCCAACCACGAACTTGCACACCAGTGTACCAAGATTACGTAATAACGGCAAGATATGCGTGGCACGCGACCGATTCTAATCCTCTCTCTCTCTCTCTCTCTCCTCTCTCATCTCTCTCTCATTCTCTCTCTCTCTCATTCATTCTCACTCAATTTCTATCTATCTATCTGTCTATCTCTATTTCTATTTTTATCACTCACTCTCTCACTCTCTCTCTCTCTCTTTCTCTCTCTTTCTCTCTTTCTCTCTTTTTCCTTTTACTTCGTGCGAATTCCTTTACGTATTTTCACTTTCACCTCGATATGCTCCAAGCCAAGGATCATTTTAACGAGTTGTAACAATACGTCGGATTAAGCGTTATTAAAAGATACAATTTTATCATTTGACTATAACTTAATTAACTTTACGTGATATAGTGATTTTCGTTCGTTTTTCTTCCTTTTTCTTTCTCTCTCTTTTTTTTTTTTTCTTTTTTTCTCCAATCGACTTGTCCTTAAACAGTTTTCCTTAATTTTTTTTCTTTTTTTTTTTTCTTTTTTTGTTAATAGAGATGGTAAGTAAAATAAATAAATAAATAGAAATAAATGAATGAAAAAAAAAAATAAATAAATAAATAAAATAAATGAAAGATGATAAAGTCTATATAATAGAATAAGACTCGAGACGAATAAAAAATAATAGATATATATATATATATATATATATATGATATATAGGAATGTCAAATTGTAATAACGTTTAATGTTTGATATTATTATCTCTTAAAAATGTAAAACAATTCGTAAGGAAGATCGAATGAGTTTAATTAAACCATAATTACGTTAACTTTCAAGATAAGGGTTCGTTAAATTCGTATAGTTACAGGTAATAGCGAAAAGGAATAGTGGGTGTTTCAAATCAGAGACGTTATTCTACTACTTCACGTAACTCGTATTACCAACGCGAATAAAGGTATGCATATAACTAGAAGTTTAGATACCGAAGTAGATACGTTGGAAAGTTTCTACCCTTTGGATGGTGGTTGACCATCGTACTCGGCCACGACACCGCAAATCTCTGTCTACTTTGTTGGTCCTCTCTCCGTTTCACGCGTACCAGTGCTCTTTGCTTTTCTCTCTTGAGACTAACAACGTACAATAATACGGGTTAGAAAGAGAAAAAGATAGATAGATGGACAGAGAGGGAGAGAGAGAGAGAGAGTAAGAGTGAGAGTGAGAGAGAGAGAGAGAGAGAGGGAGTATAAGAAAAAAGAAGAGAAAAGAAGTGATGTAAATAAATAGTAGAAAAGAGACGATATAAAAGAATGTAAAATTAATCGGGTCTGCCTTCGCCTTTTTACTACCTTTCTCTCTTACTTTTCTTTTCTTTTCTTATTCTCTATTTCCTTTTCTTTTTTTTTCCTTCTTTTTTTTTTTTCCTTTTATCTTTCTCCTTTTTTTCCCCCTCTTCTCTTCTCTTGCCCTTCTTTTTCTTTTTTTTTTCCTCGCATTTTCATTTCACTCTTTCTCGAGAGCACTAAGGCGTGTTTCTTACTCGTAAAGAGTGAAAAGAAACTCTCGTAAAGAGAAGAAAGAAAGAGAGAGAGAGAGAGAGAGAGAGAGAGAGAGAGAGAGAGAGAGAAGAGAGAGAAAGAGAGAGAAAAGAGAGAGAAAAGAGGATTTCTCCTCTTCTAGTCTCTAACGCTTTTCTTCTTGCTTATTCGAGTTTCCTACACGTTGTTGTTGTATAGTAGTTACTTGGGAAAATTGTAATCACGAGGAGATCGGAATAAATAAACTTGCTAGGAAACGGTTCGTGTAATTATCTAGAGAAGTACAAGAGAACCTTCGGGATAATCAAGGATACATACATATATATATATATATATATATATATATATATATATATCTATACATATATATATACATACGGTACACATATATATATATATATATATATATATATCTATACATATATATATATACATACGGTACACATATATATATATAAGTTGGTACAATTTAAAGTTAGTAAGAGGTATAGAGAGATTATTATACTACATATATCTATATGAAAAGAGAGAAAGAAAGAGAAATAAAGAGAGAGAGAGAGAGAGAGAGAAAGAGAGAAGAAAAGAAAAGAAAAGAAAAAATATAGAATAATGAAATCGAATAATACATCGAGTGTGATCGTGCGGGATTTTGAGCTTGCAAGGATTCGTATTAAAGTTGTGAAGATGGGTAGGCTTTTGTCTCACTTTCGTCGAGCTTACGGCTAATTGGGACAGATATAGATATAGAGAGAAAGAGAGAAAGAGAGAGAGAGAGAAAAAGAAGAGGGAGAGAGGGAGAGAGAGAGAGAGAGAGAGAAGAAGAATTGAATGGTAGAGATAAAGTGTGAGAAAGAGAGAGAGAGAGAGAGAGAGAGAGAGAGAGAAAGAGAGGAAGAAAGAGAAATGGGAAGAGAAAAGCCAACTTTCGGGTTAAATGCGGATCTCTTAATAGAGGACCAATAATTGGAAAAAATTCCCCACGGCACGGATATTATCCGGAGCTTTTTTCGAAGCGAAAAATGTCCAATGACGAAGGACAAAATTAAGAAAACTGTCAACGGATGGATTTTCGTGAGAATAGGATTTTATTGTATGTCTAAACCAATGAATTAGTTTCTTTTCTTTTTTTTTTTTTTTTTTTTTTTAGCGAGTCTTTTCTCATTATTTTCTTTCTTTCTTTTTTTTTTTTTTTTTTTTTTTCCTTTTCTCTTTTTATCGTCAGTCATCCGATGAGATTGTATTCTTTTTCTCTTTTTCTCTTTTTTTTTTTTTTTCTTTGTTGTAGTTACTTCTTAAAAGTAAAAGTAAAATCTGTGATATTATTATCGTTATACGGAATAGTAACTTAAGGCACGTCAGTGGATTACAAATGTTCATAAGATTTCTCGTTCTTTATTTTTTCTTTTTCTTTTGCTTTCTTCTCCTCCTCTCCCCCCATCCCACCCCATCCCCCGTTGCAACAAAACAAATTCTTTTTGGATTGATAAAATTTAAGTTTTGAATAAAGATCGTTCCACTTGGATTCCTTCGAAAATCCTGATTCTCGGCGTATGCGATCACACTCGACTAAGCCGGTCTATCGAAAGTTGCCGATTTTGAGAAGATGAGCTCGGATAGATCGATAGATAGATAGATAGATAGATAGATAGATCTATCGATCGATCGACTCGTATGTTCGCGAGAAAACGAATCGTTTTTCCATATACCAACGTTGCAGCTTTTTCAGTTAAGCTTCTCTCATATTACTTCCGCAGTATCGTTAAGGTGCGTTCAAATCAACGGAGACGAGACGAACGTATCCTGACGAGCATATTTTTCGCTTGGATTAACGTAGACGCATCTCGAATCATATCGATAGATCGAACTTCGATAGAATGATTCGATTCTAGTCAGAGGTTTACCCTCCCAACAAAATTTTATAATATATATATATATATATATATATATATATATATATATATAAATATATATATAATCAACACATACACACATACACACACACATATATATATATTTTCCACAATTTTTTGCTAATAAAAATTTTCTATTTTTTTCGTTTGTTACAGGTAAAATATATCATAGATCACAGAGATGCAAAAAGGGACGATCCTAATTTGGCCATATATTCTCGAAGATTTTTATCCAAGTATTGGTATAAATAATATTTAAAAGAAATACAATAATTTATATTTAATCGTAATCTAATAGAAAATACGAGAGAATTAATATTTCAAGTAATAGAATTTATCAAGTTACTCGTATAGATTAGAAAAATTGAACGAATTATTTCATCCCATTGAATCATCGTGCGAATTCGATACTTTTAATTCGGTAAATATAAAGATATTATCTTACAATCGATTACAATAGACGCAAAACTGAAAGAAATATGATCGTTTCGTGTAACACGCGATCAAAACTCGTGTTTCTAGTTTCTATTTAGTACACACACATACATATATATATATATATATACATATATATATATATATATATACCTACATATGCACACGTAGTACGTATATAAACTAAAAGGGAAAGAGAATAGTTACTTTTGCAAGAGGAGACGACCTGTTCCCGTAGAAATCGGAGTTCTGCACGCGGCCTCGTTTCATAAAACATTCATTCGAATCTTTTCTCGCCTCGTAACGACCCACGCGATACAACTTTCTATTGTACGTTTCCGAGCGACAATGCCATTGAAAATTGAATGTACAATTTAGAAAAAGTTCTCTCTCTTTCTCTCTTTATCTCTCAATCTCTAAATCCCTCTGTCTCTTTCCCTCGGGTGTCATTTTTCTTTTTATCACTTCTTCAATTTTTATCGCTGTCACCAGCCAAAGCAAACGTTTGATCGATTTCTTGTCTCTTTTTCTCGTAAAAGAAAAAATGATTGAATCTACCATAATCGAAAATCTTTTTCTATTTCGTAATACATCCCCACGAAATATCTTTTATTTGCAATGAGAAAGAGAGAGAGAGAGAGAGAGAGAGAGAGAGAAAGGGTAGAACAATTCCAAGTTTGTATCTATCCTTTATTTTGTTTTTTTTTTCTCTCCCTCTCTCTCGCTCTCGCTCTCTCTCTCTCTCTCTCTCTTTTTTCTATCTCTCTTTTGGGAATGGCCAAGAAATCGAGTAAAAAGTTTTTGGTAAGAAGAAGAGATCAGAAGAGTCGTTCCTTAAAATCGTCCGTCTTTTGATAGGAACTCCGTAAGAAAAGTTCTTTCGTCGATTTGGAAGAAGGAGAAAAAAAGAAAAGGAAACGAAGAAAAAAAAAGAAAAAATAAAAAAAAAAAAAAAAAGAAAAAAGATAAAAGAAGAAACGAAAAGAAAAAAAAAATGAAAGATCAAGAAGAACGACATTGGATATTCGCAATTTGTCAGAAATATCGTTGATTACTTTTTTTTCTTTTTCTTTTTTTTTTTTTCGAAGATGCATTAGATGGAAAAAAAAAATATATATATATATACATATTTTTTTTTTTTAAGAAAATAAATAAATAAATAATACATATATACGTACGTATAACGATGGAATACGAAAGAAATGGACATTGTAGTTGTAACGATTAGTACGTTCATTGATTTAAAGCTTTGAAAGATATATTACTCTTTGCGTCTGGAGGATTTTCTCGATCGGTATTCCAACAAGACGGAAAACAAGACGGAAGACGATTTTAACGGGCAAGTCAGAGTAAAATGAATGAAGCTACGTCGGAACGTTTTTCCGACGGTGACGTTCTGACGGATATTAAAGAGTACTGGCGAACGCGGAAGAAAAAGAAGAAGCAGAGAGAAAGAGAGATAGATAGATAGATAGATAGATAGAGAGAAAGAGAGAGGGAGGGAGAGGGAGAGGGAGAGGGAGAGGGAGAGAGAGTGTTCACCCTTTTACCGGTTTCGAATTAAAACGAACCTACCCAAGGAGTATTCTACCTTACTCTCGTGACTCTATGTAATTTATTAAACGTTATTAATTTTCCATCTGAGGAAACTAGACGGCTCATTTGTTCTTTTTAAAATTAAAGAAAGGAAAAAGAAAATAAGAAAAATTAAAAAATTGATAGAGAAAAAAAAAAAAAAAGAAAAAAGAAAAAAGAAAGTAATTTAAATACACCATAAATTGTAATGAAATTAGATCAAACGTGATCGAAATTAAAGTTCTACCAGATATTATATATATATATATATATATATATGTATATGTATATTTTTACGTGTTACATTAGATTAGATAAATTAAATAGATTAAATATATTAGATAAATTAAAATATTATCGGATATAAAGATATGCCTGTATTAATTAGACGAACGAAAATATATAAATTTTTCGATATATCAATACGTTAGATTATATTAAATAGTTTTATTAACATTTGTCAATAATTGATACATCATTACGTACTCAATGAAAATATTCTTAGAGAAAAAAAAAAAATCTATATCGACGTTATTATCAAATTAAATTAAATACATTCGATATATTTATAGACTTGTAACAATATTTACTTTTAATAGTGATATTAATTACTTTTAATCATACTAATGAACGTTTAGAAGAAAACAATAATACCTTTAAATTCGATTAATCTATCCCTTAAAGATAAACGTTTCTCGAATGGCTATGGGAAAAAAAGAGAAAGAGTATTGGATAGAAAAAAAAAGAGAGA